ACTCGATTTAAAACTTTCGTTTACATATAGGATGCATGTTCATATGTGACCTGCATGATTTATTTATAACTTCTCCGGCGGTAATGCAGAGCTGAGCGAAATTGAAGAGCTAGATTGTGATTAATGTTTTTTTTCACACAGTCTTAATAAAGAAATACTATTAAAAATCGGTTGTGTTCTTTCTCAACCTTAGTAAATTATTTTTATTAAAAAATCTGATGTTTTGTCTCACTTAATCTTAGTAAATAAGTTTTATTAAATAGCAACATTTTTTGCTCACTCTACCTATTTGGTTTGAATTGACAGCTATGACGTCAAAATATGGCGCCCAGTGGGTCCTATTCTTAGTTGAATTACATTATACTCGATGAGCGGAATAGAAGAGCTAGATTCTGATTAATGTTTTTTCTCACAGTCTTAATAAATAAATATTATTAAAAATCGGTGTCTTTTTCTCGCAATCTTAGTAAATAAATGTTATAAAAAAATCTGATGCTTTTTCTCACTTAATCTTAGTAAATAAGTTTTATTGAATAAAAACTTTTTTTTGCTCACTTTACCTATTTGGTTTGAATTGACAGCTATGACATCACAATATGGCGCCCAGTCGGTCCTATTCTTAGTTGAATCGCATTATAATATCGTTGTACAGTAAAAGCTCCTTATTCACGCTTCCTATATTCGCGTTTACACTATTCGCGGATTAAAAATTGCGACCAAATTCCCACATTCGCGGCAAAAAATTTCGTTAATCGCGGATCTAATCAAAATATAAAGGATTTGGTAAACTTCGTTAACGCATCGGCAGATGGAGTAATTATAAAATAAATAAAATAGACCTTATTTTAACACAGTCTACGGTATGTTATCAAATGCTATCGCCGGTGCATAAGACGGTTGGAAGACGATACGCTTATATTTTTCAGAAATCTATTTTTAAAACTAAGCGCGTTTAAAATTCGCCATACATAGATTTTCCATTTTTGCACGCTTTAAAACGACTTGTATTTTATGGACAGGGCAGTCTAACAACTCTGAGGAATTACGTGTTGTTTATAAAATCACCTGAGTCATTATCTATACCAGTAAAATGATATATTACTTAATATAATCAATATCAATAATATAGAAAATCTTGGAAGACATAAATTTGATTCGCCAAAAATTTCTTCGCTGTTTGGGCGAATTCATTGTACGCCATGTTACCGAACATGCGGTTCTTTAGCGAATCACACTGATTTGATTACAGTCTAAATGGAATGTTACCAGTATTTTTTTAAGGGAAAACATCTTTAGCGGCGTTGTACACTTTTTTTTGTATGGGTAAAAAGTGTTAAACTCGCCTCAGGACACGTGGGATGATCGCGTCATGACACGTGGCCTGATCGGTTATCTGACGAAAACAATAAAATCGGAAAGGTTGTTGACTTTCAATACATTGGACGAAACATAGTAATATTTTATTTTATCGTATTATAATAATGCGTCTCTATCTAGGACGTCCACGTGGCAGCTTTATTGCGAAGAAAATGCATTTTTTTACAGTAGATATCGCTAGGTGCGCTTAATGTTAATATAAATTGTCATGTTTGTGTACGATAGCGCAATAAATAAATATTGTATTCTACCACATACATGATAGTACTTTTATACTGATAATTAAAGCAATTCTTGCAAAATTATTCCCTAACCATTCCAAAATATCAAAAATGCACAACGTTAATATTCAAGTTTACATTTCTGCCGGCACTCCCGGAGTGCAATCCGTCGTTTTTTTTTCTTATTTCCATTCCTTAAAATATATAGCACTGCTTTCAAAGTTTAAATTAACTTTATTGACTTCTAAAGTCTCGAAATGTGAACTGCGAGTGAAGTGAATTTTTGTAATTAATTGTTCTTCGCTAAACCGATATAACCATCCATCAAAAATGTGTTTTGAGAAAGAACTAAGTACTTAGTGGGAGAATTAATTAAAAAGTGTTTCATTTGTGAAGTTAAATATTAAACGGTTTAAATATGGAGTTGGACACCGCTCTACCCATAGTGAAAAGCAAAGAGAAGTCAGAGAGGAGGCGATCCAGCATATTCTCCTTGCTAAAGATACAGAAGAAGTTGACGCGCCAATTCTCGGAACCCGGCCATTTTGCGGCCAAACGTAACAACCGCAAATACTCTGTGGACTCCGCCATCTTGTCAGACTACGGAAAAGCAAATGGCGGCACCAAAGATTACCTTTTGGAGGGAAATGGTCTTTCTATGTCGGTTACAGGTTAGTTCATTGGAACACTTGGAATTTGAAACATATTATTGCAATCGGATGCACTAATTATGATGGTTTTTTTATCTACTTTATCATTTAGGTTTAATTTTGGCTAAGAAGTTTTTGTCTAGTGGTTTTATATTTGGTGATTGAAATGCTAAGACTGCCTAAGTACTATGTATTTTTCAGAGCTCTTATTCAACAACTTTCAAAATTCTTTAACTTCCCATTTCTCTTAAAATGATTGATTTAATCATATTATGAGACGATTGTTCAATAATTTTAAGAGAAAATGTAAAACCGATGTAAATGTTAATGTTTAATTTTGACATTTGATACCTATATTTGTTCGTCACCGTATAGCTATTTGACCATATTAATATACCGTTTGTGTGTAGCTAAGGACGAAATCTATAAAAGTATTAAACTATTTAAAAATACGTCCAATAACAAGTAGAAGGGGAAAAAAAATTTGGACTATTCCAAATTGGAATAAAGATATATTGATTTCTGATTTCTAAGGTTTGTCATGTCAAAATTTACGTTATGTTTACATTAAAGCGCCTCCTAGTGTGAATTATCCATTTGCTAATTTATGAATCGCTAATATTATATGAAAATTCTGATCAAAATCTCTGACGAATATCGAAATATATAGGTACAAAAACCCTTAGGGACACCTAAGGGTTTTTGTATCCTGTTTTGAGAGACTCTGAATTTTGGCTAAGCATATAATAATTATAATAATAAACATATTATTTTTTGTGTAAATGCTAGATATTACAGGATTGGGACGACAGCTAACTCTTCTATTATTTGACGCTTTCATGCGACATAATTTGGCACCAAAGACAACTTTCTTTGCCTTTATAACTACGGCTCTAGGCGCGAGTTCAAATTAGGCTTCAAATACCTTTGTCATAAAAATATGCACCCATGACGGCAAGCCTATTCGCCGTTTTAAAAGGAGACTTCAATTTTTTACCCATTTGTGTACCGATGTATATATCATTTAACATTTTCAAAAATATACTACATGATTTTCTTTTAATTAAATCCTAGTCTGCTGTATCTATAAATATATAATATTGCATAATATATTTATTTGTGTAGGTATATATAGTATATATATTTGTGTAGGTATATGTTATTTATTTGTATATAATCTTTATATGTTTAAGAAAATATGTACATTTCTTTATTTTATCTTGCTGGCATACTGCAACTTCCTCTTCATTTAGTTATCCTTTACCGCAAAGGTTGTCTGGAAGAGATCGCTTAAAGCGATAAGGCCGCCTTTGCCCACATTATGTTATTGTTTCCTTATTTTTGTATTCTTTTGTGTGTGCAATAAAGAATTTATCTATCTATCTATCGCACCTCTGGTGCAACACTGTCACTTGTGCAAATAAATCATTTTTTCAGAAGCGTTTAAAACTTTAACATCCCAAAACATACCATATTTAAAGTTTTTTTTATTTTTTTTAGATGTAGCGCTAAGCAGTATAAGCTTTACATCACGTAAAAATCTTGAAATATTGTATGTTTCGGGATGCTAAAGTTTTAAATGCTCATCCTGAAAAAAAAATATAGATACTTAAAAAAACACTCGCTCATCAATATCATGCAAATAACCATATAAATTATCTGTTTTGTCATTAATTTAAATGTTTAAACGACATTAATATAGTAAAGTGGATAATAAACTGATTTTTTTTTATCCATGCTTTGAGATACACAAATGGGCATAGTTGCATGAAGAAAACAATGGATGCTTTGAACATAGAGCAACACGGAAGGAAGTAGCCACAGCGAAATTATACTGTTCAAATCGTTCGGTTAAGGCAGTTTCAGACTTGCGTTTTGTTCTGCGCGTATACAGTCGTTTGCCGTATGCCGATACGCGCGCTACATTACGGGCTTCAAAAATTCGTACTCGCATACACGGGCATATTTCGACGTGTTCACTCCAACCAGCTGTGGTGCCTCTCACGGCACTCGCATATACGAGCTTACAAGCGCGTCAACGCTCGTACGAGTTGCGCGTGTGGCAAAAGGTGCGCCTATACGCGATTACATTCGCTTTCAAAAACGAGCGTATACGCGCGTATAAAACGCTAGTCAGAAACCGCCCTTACGATAGCACACAGACGCAGTTTAACGTACACGCATATACAGGCTGTCCCGTGAATAATGTTCAACCGTTAATCCTAGCTAGTTCACTTGATTGCCTACAACTAATTTCAACCGTTTTTGAAATTCATGAGGGTTGCCAAAAAAAATAATAAAATGTTTTTTTTTTTAATATTTCTGTCTTGAATTGGTTTTTTAAATGGCATTGAAGCAAATATTAAATTGCTTTAAACCTTTTTTCTTTAAAATGTATCTATATAAATTGCCCCTCAACTCGTATATCACATTTGCATAATGACATTGTATTTCTTTCAAAAATATTTAAGTAATTTAACATTTTATTGCATTTTATTTGGATGACCTAAATTGAAAAGCTCCTAATGTAAAAAAAAAGTATGAAACCAAAGTGTCTCATTAACTTCGTCAGAGAGGAAAGCTGTGTATGCCCCTCCTGGCCGTGTTGCTTTATGCCTTTAAACGATTCAAAAGAACTTTAATATCAATTTGAATAAAGAATACAATTTTTCTTTTACTTCGCGTCGTCCCGGTTCTCCGTATCGCAGCTAGCTTCACACTACACTCCGCCCCTTTTCTTCTACCCCAACAGAGTTGGCAGGCGCCGCGTCAGATTCTGATAGCGACGCGTCGCGGTCAGGCATGCCTGACGGACAGAAGGTGATGGCCATCACCAGGAAGCAAGAGATATTGGCACGGATCGACAGCAGTTATATAGAGGACACGAATCGGGAGACTGGTGCGGTGAGTGTTACTAACGTAGAAAGGTTTTAGGGGCCGTTCAAGTATTACGTAAGCAGATTTATTACTACTAGCAAAACCAGTGAACCAAATGTTCACCAAAAAAAAAAAATGTATTTAATTAATTGAGAACTTCGGAGATTTTGTGTGGTTTCGTTTGAAATAGAAATCACGTGATTTCTCGAAAACCGGAAGTGCTACGTTACTCACATCCGGTTTGTAGTTTTATCAGACTATTCTTAACTTATAACTTAAACATTCTCTATATCTATCTCTTACGGTTTGGCCGCTGAAACAGCACCACGGACGGACGGACGGACTTGTCTAATAGATAAGAGATTATTTACCCCCTCCTCCCCCTTGTCAGCAAAAGTAAGCAAAGCTCTTGCTCCCCCCCCCCCCCTCACGTGCTTACGTAAACATTGGTACCTACATGCATTTTTCCTTTAATGTATTCTGTTTTTTTATTGATTCATGAGCTTTCATGAGTAGCAGTACTTAAATAGGCTTAGGATAGAGGACTTTGACGCACATAATATTCATTTAAACAAACTTTATTGACACAGTGTTCAACATTGAGTAAGGTACTATTACGAACAAAACCAACTTCTTTCGAATTTTTGGTATATGTATACAGTCTTCAGTCCATGACACCCGATTTCATGATGATGATTCATGATGCTGACGTAATCACTATCTCGACCCCCACCCCCCCATGTCATCAAAAATAAGCAACGCAAAGACCCCCCTGCCCCCCTATAGTGCTTACGTAATACTTGAACGGCCCCCCCTTACGACAGCGCCATCTAGTTGCTCTAAGTGAATCTAGATGGCTTGCAAACTTCGCATTTAGTGTTCAGTACCCCTAGCATGAACCATTATCGAATTCGAATAGTTCGCGATGCGAAATGTCATTGTCAAATGTGTACAGATTTTTAGATCTCTTTACGTCCGTGGTGGCGCTGCTGTTCAAGTTTCCATACAAAATTTGACAATGACATTTTGGACTCGCAAACTGTTCGAATTCGATAATGGTTCGTGCTAAGGGCACGGTACCCCTAGCACGAACCATTATCGAATTCGAATAGTTTGCGAGTGTGAAATGTCAATGTCAAATAGCGCCAGAAAGTACGTAACGAGAACTAAAAATCAGTACACATTTTTGTCAATGACATTTTGGACTCGCAAACGTTACGAATGCGATATTGGTTCGTGCTAAGGGTACATGTTTCGACACTTGGAAACTAGAAGACGTTGCCGATAAAGTATCCTATATATAAACGCAGAAAAAATTGTGGTTACAAAATAATACTTTTTATTGTCTTCCGAGCAGTAACCATCTAAACCTTCATATCGAGAAGGATTTAAAACATAATTATTCATCGTCATCTATCAATGTCTGTTGACGACAGCCGTGCACCGAACCAAACGAAGCACGTGTCGTCCAATCACAAGTAGGGTTGCCACCTTTTTTATGTCCAAATAAAGTACATTGGAGATTAAATGTAGAAAAAAAAGTACATTGTGTCCAAAATAAAGTACTTTTTATTCCACTTTATAAGTAAGCTTAAAAATATATTTTACTTATAATTTTTTTTAAAGCATGTAACTGCTTGATGTTTAAATCTCAAGAAAATATAACTAGAAAAAGTTCCACGTAGACGTAGAGGAATTTCGACGCGGTCCGTGAGGGCCGCGGTGGCATAATTGGTCAGTGCAGTCGCCCGGATTGCGAGGGGTGGGGGTTCGAGTCCCGTCTGCTGCCTGGACCGCGTGGAATATATTTTACGTTGCGTATAGCAACTTTTAATGAATAATTTGTGGCTACTAAAAATCTGTAGTTCTTATCCGCAATGGGAAAGGCCATTGTGCAAAGCCATACAGCCACGATAATGTTGCAGGAATGAGTTAAGGGTGACACAATTATACATTCTGTGGTTCCGTTTTACGCAAAAATTCTTCTTATCCTCTTTTTATATGTTTTATGTAAAATGAATCCCCAAGTAATCCAATTACATTAAATAAAGTATTTTCGCGTACTTTATTGTTGGCATAAAGTATAGAGTATAATTACCCGAAATAACGTACAATACTTTATAATAAAGTATGGGTGGCAACCCTAATCACAAGGCCTACTTTACGGACGTCAGAGGGGTGCGGGGCATTGTGCGACGGGGGGGGGGGGATAGTCGCGCGATGCACTTTTTCAAGGACGCGCCGGGTGCGCATTAACTCGGCGCTGTGATTGGTCGACGGTCACGGACAACCGGGGTCAAATTAGTATATAAGACGCATAATTTGCAAGGCAAATTGTAACTCTGCCCGTCTTCCAGGCGCCTGGGAAGTAGTTGACTCTCAATGCCGCATTAAAGCTTTGGGCCCAAGCAGCTACGCCTCTGTCCGGACCTGGTGCCTTCTTCGGGTTCACTCGAACAGCTACTTTATGCACTTCAGAGGAGGAGATGAAGCTGTCTCCTGGAAGTTAGGAATGGGGCGCTCTCAGAAATGCTCTTGCCTCATCTTCCACCCTACGATATTTATTTATTTATGTTCGGCGGCTTTTTGTGCGTCTGGCCGTGGGGTAAACTGGACCTGAAGGTGTTCGGCGAAGATATTGGCGCGGTCCAGGGCAGCGTAGCGACTTCTATTCTCTTCGTTGAACAATGGACAAACAGGCTAGGCTTGTCTAGTTAGGCCCCTCAGGAGACCGTAAAGCCTGAGTTTGGAGTTGGCTGCTTTTTCAATGGTGGAATTCCAGGAGCCTCCCCTCCATTGTTGGACTCCTGACGCTACTTCGGCTGTGATTCGTTTTAGTATGGTTTTGGTGTGAGGACAGCGGGTGGTGGCCCAGAGTTTTTTGATTCTTTTCTTCTCGGCCAGTTTCCTTTGGAGAAGGAGTGGTAAGGGATCCCTTCGCTGGATGTTGGACCGTTTGGTGTGCTTCTCCTTGGCATCTCTCATACCCGCCGTATTTCGAGAATTCAAAGCTAGCCTTTGTATCTTAAATGAAATAAGTATAATTTAAACATATTTTCTCAACATTCGTCTCCAGGCCGGCGAGCTGGTGGAAGAAGTGGCTGAAGAGAACAAATCCCTCCTCTGGTTTCTGCTCAAACAGGCGCGGCCAGGCATGGACCTGTCCAAAGTCGTCCTGCCCACCTTCATACTGGAGCCACGAAGCTTCCTGGACAAATTATCGGATAACTACTACCACGCTGATATTTTGGGACAGTGAGTGACATTTTATTTAATATAATATAATATAATATAAAAATTTTGAACATGCACACCAATAAGCCTAGCCCATAAGTAAGCATTGTAGGCTTGTGTTATGAGATGTTGGGGTAACGGATAGAATACATATACTGGTACATATATAAGTATATTTACATAGATATACATATTAAACATCCATGATTGGAGTACAAATGCTCGTATTCATCACACAAACGTCTGCCCCCACCGGGATTCGAAATCGGGACCTCTTGAGTAGGCGACGCCTTGAAACAAGGTGTATATACCACTCGACCACGGGGATCGTCTTATTCAATCGATTAATATTCTGGTTCCTGTTGACCTATACGCTAACTTTTTTGACATAAACCGCGTTATATATTTTATTATTTAAGCATTTAACTGCTAGATGTTTAAATATTCATTTGACATTGTGGATTACCTACATTGCGAAGAGATGGCCCTGCCTTGCACCCTAAGAAAGCCTAGACAAAATCGGACACGGCTATTAGGGCCGCGGTAGCGTAATGGTCAGTGCATCCGCCCGGATAGCGAAGGGTGCCGGTTCGAGTCCCGTCTGCTGTCTAATCCGCCTGGATTTTTTTCTAGTAAAATTTTCTTTATATTAAAATAAATCGAGTTATTCCAAAACGCTGACTAAAGTTACTCTTGGTTTAAACCTAATGTTTTCTCAGTCTTCTTTTTAGCAAACAATAGTGACAGCTTCAGTTTTAGTCCAGGTTTAACTTTAGTCTACTTTTTTTAATAAAGCGGTGTACAGTTGGTAACTAAAGCCAAAATTTCATATCCATCGATACTTTTCAGGAGAAGTATCTAAGTGGCGTTATAATAAAGCAGCAGTGGATCAGTAAATGAGGGCTATCGCGTATGAATCAGCCGCTAGAGGCGCTAGTGTAGCGCGAGGTTTCCGAAATGTCAAATGTTATTGCTTGTTGGTTGACTACGCGGGTTTATTTCTTATTAAAATAATGTTGTGAATAATTGGTAACAATTCGGCTTAATTATGGCAAATATGAGTTATGTGGCAATGAATGTCAGTTATTAAAAATTTGTGCTTAGAAAGATGATTATGTTCCCATTTTTTCCGAATAAAACGGAACTGGGCGTCACTGTGGCATGGCCTATTATGTTTAGGATATGGTTCTTTTGTGTTAAAATACGATCTAAATGTAACCTTTGATTTCATGTGCGTATTAATAAACTTTGATAGTTACAATTTAGGACCTCACTCAACAGTGGCGCCATCTGGTGAGACAGAAAACGGTAGCCCTCATTGGATTGGTTGAAATCTTGTAAAACACGCAGACTAAGTCGTGTGAGTATTTATAAATAAAAAATAGATGGTTTGTAATTATTGCAATATTCCAACAGGGCCAAATACATAGAAGACCCCTATCTCCGCTTCAAATGCGTGCTCCGATGGTACCTCTCTGGCCTCTACAGAAAGCCTAAAGGGTTGAAGAAACCATACAACCCCGTTCTAGGGGAGGTGTTCAGGTGCTTCTGGATGAATAGGGAGAACGATAGCCGCACATACTATGTAGCTGAGCAGGTGAGAATTTCATATATGCTATCATGTTTCAAAGTTATACAGGTGTGACAAAAGTCTGAAATGAAACTTTAGGGTTTGGTTGTGTTCCTTGTATAGAATTACCTACGAAAGTTTGACGCCTTTCAGACCACTTTTATTTTCTAATTAAATTAATAAAAATATCGTTTTACACCTGCCTTTGACAACCCTATAAATGCGTTCGATTACTACTACCTAAACAGACCCCCCTCTCTCCCCCAGGCGCCCCTGCGCCCCGCTCAGATACCTACAAATTTTTATTTCGGAATACATACCTACAAATTTTATTTCGGAATTCTGTAACACCCTGTAGATACGTCATACGAGCTTCTACTTTGGCAATACGAAAGTCAGGTAATTGCCCGACTTGCGTTCAGTCGGGCACGCTCTCTCGCTGAGGCTACACTTTGCTAGAACGTGTTAATAATATTTTACGGGTTTCCAGCCAAAAAGGCCCTATGTGTTTGTTTAAGACGTGTTATTTCATTCGAAAGAAATTAATGTAAAATTTTTATATAGTGATTACTTAATTGGACAGTTATTGCTGTCACCGTTGACACACAGAGGTTAAAGAGCCAGATGTAATTGATACAATGTGTCTTTGCCATAGAGGTTAAAAGGAAAGAGCAGGGGAGATATACACTCTACTACAAGTGGAAGTGTCCCTCTAATAGAAAGAGAAAGAAGATGAGAGACCGCTAGCTTTCTCTCTCTAATCGCGCATGCACATTGGCAACCGTAAGCTTCTTACTATTTCGATGTGATGCCATTGGATGCCATGCGTCACAAGACAGAGAGAGAGAGAGATAGCTAGCGGTCTCTCATCTTCTTTCTCTTTCTACTAGACGGACACTTTTAGAGCCGCCTTCCCCACTCTATTCTTATACCTCTATGGTCTTTCCACGTTCACCTACTCGAAAACAACAAACCTAGACTATTTCTTATAAAATTAAAGATTAAACTCTATTAATGGTGTCAATTTTTGCATGATTCTCTAAACCTAAACTTAAATTTGACAACAGTATATCCTTGTCATTCTCTATACAGAATGAAAAGCAGAGACTGATGTTAAATTTAGTTTTAAGTTTAGAGAATCATGCCAGAATCGACATCACTATGTACTTATACTCCAAAATATTCTTATAAGAGTACCGTTCCTTACTTCTAATATTTGTAAAACATAAATTTGAAGATTTCTGTAATAATTTATGACATTTGATTTATATGATGTTGAATATAAAATATTAAATTATTATAAAAATTCATTTTGGTTTGACATTTGGTTTTGATAACAGTTTATTTTATTTATAATAACCATTTCAATATTTAAATTACACTCATTATTTTGTTGTCTTTAAAAAACGTCTGTTTATATTATGTTAATGTCTGTTTGCGGTTTTAATATTTTTGGCAGGATAGTGTTTGTCGAGCACGCTTGTATAATATAAATTAGTATTGCTAAAATTAAAAATCATGTGTGCAAGAACCACACATCTCAAATGAGCTGCCCCCCTCCCCCCACATATCTAATATATAAAATTCTCGTGTCACGGTGTGCGTAATTGAACTACTTCGAAACGGCTCGACCGATTTTCGTGAAATTTTATATGCATATTCAGTAGGTCTGAGAATCGGACAACATCTATTTTTCATCCCCCTATATGTTAAGGGTGGTTCACCCTTAATTTTGTTTCGGACATTTTTTTTTGTTATAATTTTGGGTTACCTATAATGCGAAGAGATGGCGCTGCCTTGCAGCTTAAGAATGGCTAGAGAAATTACGACACGGTCCGTGAGGGCAGCGGTAGCATAATTGGTCAGTGCATTCGCCCGGATTGCGAAGGGTGCGCGTTCAAGTCCCGTCTGCTGCCTGTTCCGCGTGGAATTTTTTCTAGTTATATTTTCTGAAATTTTTTGTTTTTATTTTATTATGATACATCATACAAAAATACATACACCCCTAAATTTTCACCTTTCTACCACCAACCCCTATTTTTTATGGCGGTACGAAATTCGCTAGGACAGCTAGTAAATGTATAATAGTCGTGTATTCCGTTTCAACTATTCCATATGATTTTTCCATAAATTTTGGATTTCAATTATTCTGCTTTCAGGTGTCTCATCACCCGCCGGTGTCTGCTTTCTATGTGTCCAACAGGAAAGATGGATATGTCATAGAAGGCAGTTTGCTGGCCAGATCCAAGTTTTATGGTAAGCAACTAAGTAGAAGATATGGCACGTGGAATTTTTTCTAGTAAAATTTTCTTATTATTTAAACATCTAGCAGTTAAATGCTAGATGTCGGAGAGCGACTATTCACTTTGTCATTAGCGTTCACGGGCTTAGTGGGCGTCATCGGGGCTTAATACTTAATACAGGCACAAAACAAAACAATCACTGTTCGTACAATTTTAATAGCGTTCCTTTAACAAAACAAAATAAAAATGTTACACACACTTTACTTTAATAATTACATAATTACACTTAAATAACGTAACAACCGAGCAGCGTGTTCGAGGTATCAATCTGACTTCACTGAACTACTGTATCACCATTCTAGTAATGAGGGCTATCGCGTATGAATCCGCCGCTAGAGGCGCTAGTGTAGCGTGAGGTCTCCGAAATGTCAGACGTTATTGCTTGTTGGTTGGCTACGCGGGTTTATTTCTTATTAAAATAATGTTGTGAATAATTGGTAACAATTCGGTTTAATTATGGCAAATATGAGTTATGTGGCAATGAATGTCAGTTATTAAAAATTTGAGCTTAGAAAAATGATTATGTTCTCATTTTTTCCGAATAAAACGGAACTGGGCGTCACTGTGGCATGGCCTATTATGTTTAGGATATGGTTCTTTTGTGTTAAAATACGATCTAAATGTAGCCTTTGATTTCATGTGCGTATTAATAAACTTTAAAAGTTACAATTTAGGACCTCACTCAACAGTGGCGCCATCTGGTGAGACAGAAAACGGTAGCCCTCATTAACCGCTACGATAGTTCCTCGCTTATAAATACGCACTAAAACTACCTCCCCACCTGTGAAAATCAAGATGGCTCCTCGACCCCACTCGAGGCAAGTGCTCTGCTCTGATTGGATGAGACATAAAATTATTAATTTGCGACTTTTATTAAATTGCTAAGTTACTGAACAATACAAAAATGAAATAAAACTAGTTTTTACGGGTTAATGCACGAAACTTTATTTATTTTTCGTGCATTAATCCGTAAAAACTAGTTTTATTTAATGAGTGATGTGCGTGAAAACCTAAGAAACAAATATAATACAAAAATTGTAAGTAATTTAATTAAATTTACATTTTATAAAATTATTTAAAGTGTAAACAATAGCCTTTTCGCGATTGGCATTCAACAAGCAACTGTACTCGTCACATCCTCCGACATATATATTATGATAATTGCTATTTCTTCTTTCAAATGTTTAATAGTTGTAAAGGTTTGACAATGTGTTTTACCTACAATGCGAAGAGATGGCGCTGCCTTACAGCCTAACAAATACTTGAGAAAATTCGACAAGGCCATCACGGCCGCGGTAGCATAATGGTCAGTGTATTCGCCCGGATAGCGAAGGGTACGGGTTCCAGTTCAGTTTGCTGCCATATCCGCGTGGTTTTTTTCTAATAAAAAAATCTTTAGAAAAAAAAAACTTTTTTTTTACGCCCTAAGATTGGGTATTTGAATGCTGGTGTTAAATTAATCGTATTCGTCTCAACACATCTTTTTATTTGGTACCCCATATCATGAGAGTGAAGACAATTCTTTTGTCGCCATTTTAGCTTTTGTGTTTAGGAAAGTGCTCCACTAACACGTTCCCGTGAACATAATCTAATATATAAAATTCTCGTGTCGCGGTGTATGTGGTTAAACTGCTCCGAAACGGCTCGACCGATTTTCGTGAAATTTTGTGTGCATATTGGGTAGGTCTGAGAATCGGACAACATCTATTTTTCATCCCCCTAAATGTTAAGGGTAATCCACCCCTAAATCTTTTTCATTTTTAGATATTTTTTTTATTTTTTTATTATACATCATACAAAAATAAATATAACCCAAAATTTTCGCCCTTCTACCACCAACCCCTATTTTTTTTATGGCGGTACGAAGTTCGCTGGGACAGCTAGTATATATATATATATATAAAGAAAGGGATCTCTTATCTATTAGACAAGTCCGTCCGTCTGTCTGTCTGTGGTGCTGTTTCAGCGGCCAAACCGTAAGAGATAGATAAAGAGAATATTTAAGTTATAAGTTAAGAATAGTCTGATAAGACTACAAACCGGATTTGAGTAACGTAGCACTTCCGGTTTTCGAGAAATCACGAATTTCAAAACGAAACCACACAAAATCTCCGAAATTCTCAATTAATTAAATACATTTTTTTTTTATTTTTTTTTAAATCAGGTTTCGGTGAACATTTGGTTCACTGGTTTGCTAGTTCATTTTTATTTCCATGTCATGTCACAACTGGAGAACGACTTTACCGATTTCATCCGTCTTTTTTTTAAGTTGTAATCGATTGCGGAAGATTCTTACGGGAAAAAAATGAAGTAGCGTAGAAAATATTAAAATCTCCGAAAACTTAGCTCTACGATAGCGCTGCAGTAGGGTTTTCGGTTTTTGAAATTGTTGGCAGAACAATGTTTGTCGAGTCCGATAGTATCATTATCAGCCTCTTAATGTCCCCACTGCTGGGGCACAGGCCTTCCCTATGGATGGAATAGGGAGATTGGGCCATGACCCACCACGCGGGCCCAGTGCTGATTGGTGGGTGCTAACGACTTCAGATGCAGCCGGGACCAACGGCTTAACGTGCCTTCCGAAGCTCCTCCGTGCTTCGGAAGGCGAAGATAGTAAATTTTCGGTCACCCATCCAATGACCGACCACTGCGAAAGTTGCTTAAATTCAACGATCGCAGCGGAACGCGCTAACCACTTGCGCCATCGAGCTCCTCATCCATCCAATATATACCTAAAATTTATCAAAGAAATGCCTACAAAATATATTTGTTCTATGAAATGTCTTAAAAATATATTTCTTCTATACCTCAGGTACTTCCACATCCGCCATATTGGAAGGTTGCGCGAGAGTGCATCTCTTGCAGTGGGACGAGACCTACATCACTACGGCACCTTATGCTCACTGTAAAGGCATCGTCATGGGAACCCTCAGTATGGAACTTGGGGGCAAGGTAATCTTTTTCTACGTATTTATTTAAAATTCGCTAGTTTTCGCCGCCCGCGACTTTGTACGCGTGGAGTTAGTTTGAAATAAAGGTTCACTGCTCGTTCCCCGTAGGTGATAGCGTGATAATATATAGCCTATATGTTGACCCGGCTTCTTAATAGCCCTTTCACATTTTTTACAAAAAATCGTAATTTTTGAGCGCCTCGTTTACCCCGTTAGAAAAGAATTTGACTATTTCCAATAGAAGTTAACAGTAGATTCATTCTTCCTATTGTAAGTTAATGTAGAATATTTGCAAATACTATTTTAATTTTTTTGTACTGATCGTTCTACCGCAGCTAGCTTACGGTAAAAACGATAATATGCACAACTTCAAACGCCTGAATCTCTAAATAATGTTCAATAAATTAGATCAAATTAATTACTACGACATCAAAAATATGTTTTATGTTGTAACATAATTAGAATATAAATATTTGAATTTTGATTTTCCACCTCATTAATTATAAAAAAAAAAACATCTAACCTCCGTGAGTTTTCCCAAAAAAACAATGCAGGTTTACCTCGTATTTTCATATTGAATTAAATAGAATTACTGTCAAAAACTTTCATAAAACTAATCTACCATCATTGAACTACTGAAATATGTATATATTTTTATAATTAGTTCATTAATAATTATTTTGTAAGACTCGAAACATCACCCGTAAAATGCAATATATACTAGTGCAAATCTACCTACGCGCCGATCAGTACGGCAGCGGCGCAATTTTGTAAAAGGGCTCTTAACCCATACCACAATATATAGCATGCGCCACTGTCGCATGTTGTTGCCTCGGTGTAATCAGCTGAATGCGTTAAATAGGGTATTTGACATGTTTTAGAAAACGATCTCACGTTATTGACTAATGCTTGTGGATTCCGTAAAAAGTGGATATTCATCATTCTGTTGTGTATTTCAGTAAAAATAACCAAATCAAAAACTCCATTTTCAAGTTGCCGCGAAAACGTTTCTCTGGACAATATGGCGTCTTACTAGTGTGTGACGTCACACGACTGTTATTAAAACGTAAAACAATACAATATAATGTCACTTAAACCAGAAGTTTACTTGCGTGTGACGTCATTTAAGGCTCCGCCAATCCCATGCGTTTTGGATCACGTGACAATAGATAAGGAAACTATTATTTTTTTCGTGGGTTTTTAGTAAAATTATGAATATTTTTTTTGTAAAAAATTGTAAAAACCCCTGCCAATATTCATTCTAAACACAGATGCCAACAATTGGCACTTTATTTTTAATACTGTCAAATACCCTATTAACAAACATTGACAAAAACGACACTTTACATACTACAAGTATTTTTTTCGCATCAATTCACGGAGCTCTGAGGCATGTTGACTTTTCAACGGTCCGCGCGTGACTGTGAACCAAGAAGTGCTTGAGTGGAGTTTAAGCACTTCTTGATTGGGGCACATTTTTAGCGGACGTTGTGTATCTAGGGTATTTAATATCGTTGGTATGGCTATTGCTATTGTATAGCTTAACAAAATAATCAAACTCCATTTCGCATTTATAAAATATCTTCTTCTATAATATAAAAATGAATCGCTGAATGTGTTGCTAAGCGCAAATATCGAGAACAGCTGAACCGAATTAATAATTCTTTTTTTTAGAATATTCCTTGAAGTACTAGTATGGTTCTTACGCAGAGATAAATAAAAATAATAGCCTGAAAAAGTTCAAAAGCAACACTTTTCTATACTCCCATAGAAACGATTCGTAATAGGTAATAATTAAAAGTCAATTTGAACTTTAATACCATACCATAAATTTCAAATGGAGTTAGTGGAGAGGTTCCGGGAAGGTAAAACAATTAAATGATGTGATGTCAATAGAAGTTTGGAAAAGGCAAATATACCATTTTCAGTTTAATTTATAATTATATGAAGAGTCATTTTAGTCTACACTACAGCTCTACACCGAAGCAAAGCGAGGGCGGGCTACTAGTATTATATATATATATATATTTATAATTAGTAAGGGTAACTGAAAAAGAAGAAATAATAATAATAATAAGGTATATATGTATAGTAACTAGAATATGGCGTCAACAAAAAGTTTACGTGGTCCCTATAGTCCTCTCCACAACAGGCGTTATTCCAAATCACCTTCTCCATAGCCTTATTTATTTTTTTATTTATTTATTCTGTACACACAAACATAATGTAGGGGCAACTTAATTAAAGATAACATGTACAAGGGCACAACTTATTTCAATCTGAAATTTCTTACAGTAGGCCCGTAGAAGGAAAGGAAATAGGTAAAGGTACTCAGCGTGTACACCGGAATATAAATACATGTTAATACCAATAAATATGGGGTTTATACATATAGGTTTATATATACAAGTACTTAAATAATGAATAAATATATACACATACGAATATAAAATTGATGACAATAGATATATAAATACATACATACATATAATATGGACGACGAGAAGAGAAGCAATGAGAAGATCAAGGGCAGAATTAAGGGCAAGAAGATAAATAGTGTTCCTTCAGATGTTTTTTGAACACTGGGACAGAACTAGTCTCTAATTTCTGCTGGCAGCGAATTCCACAGACGGACGGCATGTACTGAGAAGGAATTGGATGCGAAACTAGTGTTATGGGTGGGACATTTTAGAAGGGATTTGAGGTGGGATCTGCAAGGATCTGTTGAAGGGTGCATGAAGGAAAACCGTTCACGGAGGTAATGTGGATATTGTGGATTATAGAGGATGTTGAAAAGGAGACAAAGGATTCTAACATTCCTGCGCAGACGAATGGGAAGCCACTTGAGTTCCTTACGAAAACTAGAAACATGGTCGTAGACCAAAGATGAAGCGGATAGCGAGGTTCTGCAGGCGCTCAAGTGTGTTCAGTAAGGTCTCTGTGGCATCTAAGAAGCAAGCATCGGCATAATCGAGAAGCGGCGAAATGAGTGATTGAGCGAGTGAAATTTTGGAATACAATGGCAAAAAATATTGAAGGCATTTGAGGGAATGTATCGTGTAGTAAATTTTCTGGCCGACGTTAGCGACCTTAAATTAATAAACCTAAAAGAAACCCTCTATATCACCCTCCAAAAAGCTGAAATTTTAAATACATGCCGCATTGTCAGAAACTTCTTGCAAATAGATGAAAACGAAATATGTTCTCATCACAACATAACATAACACAACACATGCTGCACTTACTTGGTTTCCGCCCGTAATTGTAAAAAAAAAACAGCCAAAGAGCTGAGAAAAAAAACACTATACAAAAAATAATAATAAGTATTTATTTGCTCCAAAAAATACATATACAAATACAAAAACTTAAAATCTGACATACCAACTTTCTGGGAGCAAAAAGGGAATGTGACTCAGCCTTAGACCGCCGTTTTATCGGAAGTCGCTGATGTTCTGCCACAACCTTATTTAACTAATACATGCTCCATTTTGTGATACCAACAAGTAAAACTTTGAAAATCGATTTAAAAATTAATACATCCATTATTAAATATCTAAATTAAATACAGTTTTGGCGGCAGTATACTGTTTATCTAATATCCATAATTTATAATGCGATCAACTAAGAATAGGACCAACTGGGCGCCATATTGTGATGTCATAGCTATCAATTCCCACCAAATAGGTAGAGTGGTCAAAAAAAGTTTTTATTTAATAAAACTTATTTACTAAGTTTAAGTGAGAAAAAGCATCAGATTTTTTAATAACATTTATTTACTAAGATTGAGAAAAGATAAAACCACCGATTTTTAATAATATTTATTTATTAAGACTGTGAGAAAAAACATTAATCAGAATCAAGCTCTTCCATTCCGCTCATCTCTGCATTACCGCCGGAGAAGTTATGAATAATCATGCACTATTACTAGGTCACATACGAACATGCATCCTTTATAATATTATAAACGAAAGTTTAAAATCGAGTTTTTGAACGCAACTTAAAGTGACATTTGGTTGACGATTTAGGTTATCAACAATTAATGGCCAAAGCTCAATAGTGAAAAAAAATATCGACCGATATTAATTATCAATATTTGTTATTGTTAGTTTACAAATGTTTGGTTTATATTCTTGACCGCTAATTCAAACAACAGTGCTAAAAAAGGGTTCCAAGTTTTTTTTGCAAACCGTACTTTTCAAGCGACATTTGACAGATAGAGGTTATTGGCTTTCCTATTCTTATTTGAATCTCATTATACATTTATTTTTAAAATTATATGTTGACATTGAAATGTTGGTCCGCAAAGGTGGTGGGAGATCATTCTATATGACGAGACGACCTCCTTGGCCGAGTGGTTTGTACGCCGAGTTTCATGGTCTCGGCGACTCGAGAGGTCCCGGGTTCGAATCCCGGTGGGGGCAGATGTATGTGTGATGAATACGCGCATTAGTACTCCAGTCATGGATGTTTAATATGTATTTCTTTATAAATATACTTATATATGTACAGTATATGTATTCTATCCGTTACCCTAGTATCCCATAACACAAGCCTTATAGTGCTTAGCTTGGGGCTAGGCTAATTGGTGTGAGTGTTGGAAATATTTATTATTTATTTATTATTATTTATATCCTTGATGCGGCATGTACAAAGCAACCCCTAGTTACAATATTTTTGCATTTTGGTAGTGATAGGAGAAGCCCAAGGTCTCTCAAATTTGAACGACGTTTCTTCCATTGAAGTTTTTTTATGTAAATATGGTGGTAAGGTTGTTTTGAATAATGACAGTAAAAATAAAACATTTCTGTTTTAATATTGTCAACAGGTGCATATTATGTGTGTGGAGACTGGATACCAAGCTGAAGTGGAATTCAAACTGAGGGTAAGTAGACTAGGAAGACAATAAAAAAAATTGTGTGCACACACATCTGAAGTGAAACTTGTTTTCTTAAATAACCTAACATTAGGCGGTGCATAAGGCATAGGGGGGGGGGGGGGGGGGTGGAGCAGCGCACGTACACTCATATATATGTGTTTATATATATATATATTGTCGCGTCTGACGCTCGTAGCGTTTCAGCCTTCGCCGAGTTACCCTCCAACTTTCATGCTCGTTGGGAAGAGCTGCGCACGGATACCACACACACACACACATATTATATATATATGTATATTATATATATATATGTACTAGCTGACCCAGCGAACTTCGTACCGCCATGAAAAAATAGGGGTTGGTGGTAGAAAGTTGAAAATTTAGGGATGTATGTATTTTTGTATGATGTATCATAAAAAAATTCAAAAAAATTTTTTATCTAAAATTGAAAAAACAAAAAAAAATTTAGGGGTGGATTACCCTTAACATTTAGGGGGATGAAAAAGAGATTACATCCGATTCTCAGACCTACTGAATATGCATATAAAATTTCACGAAAATCGGTCTAGCCGTTTCGGAGGAGTTTAACCACAAACAGCGCGACACGAGAATTTAATATATTAGATATAGTCTTATGACACTCGTGACGCATTTCCGTTTCATCTTTTCCATAGGGTTTTTTTTCCATTTACACCCCGTCCGTAAAGAAGTTTCACTTCAGTAATATAACGAAGTACATGTTGACCTTGTTCGATATTGCAACATTATGATGACCTGATAATTTATTATTAGTTCATTTTATTATATTCTATGGTAGGGCAGCCCAAGCGGGGATTTTTGGATTTACTCGAGCGCGGCAGAATAACATATGGGGAGCAACCTTGTACGTAGTTAAGTTATCCCACCATACCTGAGCCCTCTATCTAGGGCCGAACGTCTAGGGCAGCAAAAACAAAATTTCAACAAACGACCTTAACTTTTGGTCGTGTCCAAATCGTCAGTCTTTTGAATGGGAGCTACTGGAGGGGTCACTTAACATCCCTTCTCAATGTCTGACGCGCTCGGTTATTTTTTTCCTATTTTCTTGACGACCTCCGTGGTCGAGTGGTTTGTACGCCGGGTTTCATGGTGTCGCCGACTCGAGAGGTCCCGGGTTCGAATCCCGGTGGGGGCTGATGTTTGTGTGATGAATACGAGCATTTGTACTCCAGTCATGGATGTATAATATGTATTTCTATTTAAATATACTTATATATGTACAGTATATGTATTCTATCCGTTACCCTAGCATCCCATAACACAAGCCTTACAGTGCTTACTATAGGGCTAGGCTAATTGGTGTGAGCGTTGGAAATATTTATTTATTTATTCTACCCCTTCGTACGGCCACCCCCATATCGCGGCAGATCAATATTTTTGCCGTTCTTAGAAACGTTACATGAACCCTCTAGTAGCTTATATACAAAAGACTGACGATTTGGGCGCGACCAAAAGTCATGACCGTTCCTTGAATTTTTGTTTTTGCTGCCCTGGACGTTCGGCCCTACATAGAGGGCTCAGGTATGGTCAAGGGCGGATCCAGCTTTGGCGCCAGGGGGGGGTCATATAGCCAGCTTTGGCGCCAGGGGGGTCATATAGCCAGCTTTGGCGCCAGGGGGGTCATATAGCCAGCTTTGGCGCCAGGGGGGGGGGTCATATAGTCGTGGTATATTAAATATTGAAAGTACTTAAATAAAATCCCTCTGGGTTTGGTCCATCTGTACCCAGCCCAGGGGGGGTCATGACCCCCATGACCCCCCCCCCCTGGATCCGCACTTGGGTATGGTGGGAGTACTTAACGAGGTGCAAGGTTGCTCCCCATATGTTATTCGGCCGCGCTCGAGTAAATCCAAAAATCCCCGCTTGGGCTCCCCGACTACTATCGTGTCTACATTTTAACGTATTAATTACATTCTTCCACGTCAATATTAGTATTAACAATCTACCAGGGTATTTGACAAGTTATAGAAAACGATCTCACGTCATTTAATAATGCTTATAGAGTCCATTTAAAGTTAATATTTTTAATTCTGTTGTGTAATTCAGTTAAAAAAACTAAATTGGAAATTCAATTTTCAAGTTGCCGCGGATACGTTTCTGTGGACATTATGGCGTCTCACTAGTTTGTGACGTCACACGAGTGTCATTAAAACGTCAAACGATACAATGTAATGTCACTTTGGCCGGGAGTTTACTAGCGTGTGACGTCATTTTAGTCTCGGCCAATCGCAGGCCTTTTCGGTCACGTGATCATGGAGCAAAAAAGTCATTGTATTGAATGATTTTACAGAAAAGTAATTATTTATTATACTTATATTCATATTGAATACAGATGCCAACAATTGGTACATTATTTTTCATACTGTCAAATAGCCTATTAGAATACAGTTTACCCTCTTGACATAGGATTAAATTCGTAATTTTTGCAGCTGCCAACACTGCAAATACCATAATCTATTTTATACCATGAACTGGCAATTTTAAATTACATATTTATTATTTTCGTATTCACAGTCGTTCTTAGGCAGTGCGGACCAAACTAACGCCATTTCCGGTAGAATCAAGAAAGGCAAGGAGACTATAGCTACTGTGGAGGGATACTGGGACGGCAAGATCGATATAAGGGACAAGAGGAATGGGGTGAGTGACACTCATCATCATCATCATAATCAGCCTATTAATGTCCCCACTGCTGGGGTACAGGCCTTCCCTATGGATGGAATAGACGATTGGGCCATGACCCACCACGCGGGCCCAGTGCTGATTGGCGGGTGCTAACGACTGCAGATGCAGCCGGAACCAACGGCTTAACGTGCCTACCTTAGCACGGAGGAACTCGAGATTTTTGGTCACCCATCCAATGACCGACCACTGCGAAAGTTGCTTAACTTCAACGATCGCAGCCGAACGCGCTAACCACCTGCGCCATCGAGCTCTAAACTATCGTAATTATAAACCTGGGCCCACGGGCTGAGCCATAGCGCAATAATGGTCTAAATGGTCCCAGTGAGGAATTTTCCCAGTGGGGAATGGCCCAGTGCAGCATGCTAGGTGCCTCGCTAATATGTGGTAGTAAATTTACGCCTAGCCCCACATAAAGTCTGAAAAGGTACTTCGTTTCAATTATAATGTGTTTTATTTATCTTTCATAGATTTTGAGATGTATTTTTTTTAAAATGAGTATTTTTTGACATTGTGCGTTACGTATAATGCGAAGAGATGGCGCTGCCTTGCAGCTTAAGAAAGGCTAGAAAGAATTCGACACGGCCATCAGGGCCGCGGTAACATAATGGTCAGTGCATTCGCCCGGATAGCGAAGGGTGCGGGTTCGAGTCCCGTCTGCTGCCTGGCCCGCGTGGATTCTTTTTTTCTTTAAATAAGTATTTGTCGGCCAGAATAGCCTCAATGGGCTCCGTTTGACTCGAAATATAATTCTCAACACATTTGCTCAAAAAATGCATTTAGGAAGGTTGTATACATTGTTCGAAAATTCAGAATTACGGTCCATACCGCGGAGCTTGCGGTAAAATTCATTACGAACGTCCCCATAAATGGCAATGTGCGTATTTTACGGGTTTTTTTCGATCGAACCTCTGTCTCACTTTAATACTAATAAATAAAGATTAATTTAAAAAATCAAAATACCCGACAGCTTAACCCGGCGTCAGCACAGTCAAAATATGCATCAACGACAGTAGGGTTGGGTCGAGAGGACCCGTATAAGAAAACGCCATAATTACAAAAGTTAAAATAAATTTGGTTTGTGGTTGTACTATCTGTATAAAACGATTATCGTTATAAGTTTTGAGTAGAAAAAAACACAACATGATACGAAACTATCTTTTTAATGTCATTTTCATAAAAGTGTCACAAAATATTAAAAAAAAGGGACAACCTCTGTCTTAAAGTAATAAAATTTTAACAAAACAAACTTTTTTCTATAACATAAACTAATTTGTTACATGTTAATCAAATCTTTAGTAAACTAATAATATTATACTATTTGTATCAGTCTCATACGTCAGTCATAGTATCCTTATCATCTGCGCAATCTCGGCAGTACAACATTGCATGCTCACTGCAGATGTATTTGCATATATTGCTCCGAAAAGTATTAGTTTTCTATCTTTTTTGGCAGAACAGTCTTGGCATCTCTTTCTTACATTAAGTATCTTCACAGGTGGCTCCTCATCAGGTACCTACTCATAAAAACTCTCTTATTCTTTTGCGCATAAGTCTTGGCAACTGAATGACATCTTTACGATTGCGCAAATGCTCACGAACAAGTATAAGACTTAAATTTCTTTAGAAATTGGCGTTATGTAATATGTACGCATTTATTTCAGACATATTTGCCAAAAATAACAAAATAAACAATATAAAATAACAATAAAACATTTTTTTAAACGGCGCAAAATTACGACACGAATAGTATGGTTGGGTCATATTTACCTTTTTCGTGTTTGGCCGTGTCTATCACTCGCTGCGGCCGCAACACGACTGATTGGCGAATCCCACGTGGAGGGGGGACCATTAGCTCCAGCTACTGAGAAGTTTGGCAAAGTCGCACAAACGTTTTAAGAAACACGCTCATTTGAAAACTGCTCGGGTCAAATAGACCCAACTGTGCGAACGCCGGGTTAAATATTATTTCAAATAAAAACTGAAAAGAAAAAACCAAGTTCAGTAGTCTATAATTCTGTTAAGTTAGGGACACAGCTATTTTAACAGTCGGGGCCTATTCAAGAGTGGATATTTTTTTTAATAATGGGCCCGACTGTTAAAGTAGCTTTGTTCCTTACACAACAGAATTATAGACTACTGAACTTGTTTTTTTCTTTTCAGTTTTTATTTGAAATAATATTTAAGCTGTCGGGTATTTTGATTTTTTAAATTAATCTTTTTTAATTAACCGATTTTATTTAAAAGGAGACGAAACATGTAGTTCTAATTTTTACCACCCGCACTTGGCGCCATTTGGAAATGCGCGCCATTTTCTTATTAAAAATATATTGCCTCATTACTTTAATTATGTATAATGTCTTCTCACAAATGTGTTGAAAAACAGCTTACTTTGGGGCTAGGCTAATGAGGGCTATCGTTTTTTGTTTTACCAGATGGCGCCACTGTTGAGTGAGGTCCTGAAGTGTAGCTTTTAAAGTTAGTAAACACGCTCGTGATATCAAAGTTTACATTTTAATACAAAAGAATCGTATCTTAAACATAATCGCCCATGCCACAGTGTTGCGCAGTCCCATTTTGTTCGGAAAAAAGGAGGACAATATTTTTTCTTAGCTCCGCTTTTAAATAATTGACATTCATTGACACGTAACTCATATTTGCCATAATTAGTCTGAGTTATTACCAAGTATTCACAACTATTATTTTAATTAGAAAAAAACCGCGTAGTCGACCCACAAGCGATAACATTTGACATTTCGGAGACCTCACGTTACACAAGCGCCTCTAGCGGCATTGATGTGTCATTGAGGTGTGTTAAAAAAAAGAATAAGAATGGATTATAATAACACAATCTTTCTATCCATCCCAAGGAGGAGTCGAACCTCCTAGACGTGGCCGTGTTAAAGGAGCAGCGTATGGCCCGATACCTGGTGCGGCTCGACTGCCAGCACGAGTACGAGTCGCAGCGGCTCTGGGCAAAGGTCTCCGACGCCATACAGAACAACGATCAGGTAAAAGGATATATCTAATATATAAAATTCTCGTGTCGCAGTGTTTGTGGTTAAACTCCTCCGAAACGGCTCAACCGATTCTCATGAAATTTTGTGTGCATATTGGGTAGGTCTCAGAATCGGATGTAATCTATTTTTCATCCCCCTAAATGTTAAGGGTAATCCACCCCTAATTTTTTTTTTCATTTTTGGATTTTTTTTATGATACATCATACAAAAATACATACAACCCTGAATTTTCACCCTTCTACCACCAACCCCATATTTTTTTATGGCGGTCCGAAGTTCTCTGGGTCAGCTAGTTTCCTACATAAATACAGTAGAACGACGGTTATCCGAATTAATAGGGTATTTGACAGTATTAAAAATAAAGTGCCAATTGTTAGCATCTGTGTTTAGAATGAATATTGGCAGAGGTTTTTACTATTTTTACAAAAAAAATATATTCATAATTTTACTAAAAATCCACGAAAAAGATAATAGTTTTCTTATCTATTGTCACGTGACACAAAACGCTTGGGATTGGCGGAGCCTAATTGCCGCGTTCTACTGTATGTCAAAGGGGCACATGAGCATCCATTACAAACCCTTGAAATAATACTCGGTTTGCGCTGTCAAGGTTTAATAAAGATAGTCTAACAAATAATCTGCTTAAAATGAGCTATGATTGCTCAGATGCAAACGGATTAAATCGGAAAGTGGTGAAATCGATATGCGGAGTCGATCTGCCCCTCTAGCATAACCACCGAAACGGGATATGATAAAGCGATATATCGGCATTAACTGTCAGACTACAGTGAAGTTATCGCTTTATCATATCGCTTGTCACACAATGTCAAATGAACACCTTTACAAGTATTAAACATTTGGAATGACTTTTTGGCGGGATCGGGAAGCGTCACTTTAGCAGTTTTGTTTTTCTTATTAAAAATTGTGTTGTGGCGGATGTTAGTGTCTAATAATGGTGGATTATTAACCACTAAGTGTTCCGAAATATGCACAAGTGTTGGCAAGTGAAACAAAATAGCGGAAAGTGTCTTTCGACGTTCCCTCAAGAAGTCCACGGGGAGGTTCCAGTAAATCCCCACACATTTACTGAAACATAGGGAAAGGGGGATTGACTTGACTGCCACTTACTTTGATTTGACTAATATTTTGACCACGAGTGCTATAGAATATGTAAACATTTTACACTTGACATTGGCTAACACAAACCGTGCGAAGCCATAAAGAAAAAAAGAACATTTGGAAGAAGAAATAGCAATAATATAGATAAAGTTTTTATTTGTTAAGCATGTAACATAAATATTTGACATTGTGGGCTATCTACAGTGCGAAGAGATGGCGCTGGCTTGCAGCTTAAAAAAGGCTAGACGAAATTCGACACGGCCATGAGGGCTGCGGTAGCATAATGGTTACTGCATTCGCCCTGATAGCGAAGGGTGCGGGTTCAAGTCCCGTCTGCTGCCTGGTCGGCGTGGAATTTTTTCTAGTATTATTTTCTTTAGATATAACTATTTTTTATCATTCTCAGGTGGCAGCTACTGAAGAGAAGACCGTAGTTGAGGAGGCTCAGCGAGCTCGCGCCAGAAACCTCGTGGCGACATGGGTGCCGCGATACTTCCATAAGGACTTCCATTTACAACCCCCAGAGGGTATGATTTCACAAAGGATATTTGACAGTATTAAAAATAAAGTGCCAATTGTTAGCATCTGTATTTAGAATGAATATGGGCAGGAGTTTTTACTATTTTACAGAAAAAATATTCATAATTTTACTAAGACCCACGATAAAGATAATAGTTTTCTTGTCTATTGTCACGTGACCTAAAACGCTTTGGATTAGCGGTGCCTAAAATGACGTCACACGCAAGTAAACTTCCGGTTAAAGTGACATTTGATTGTATACTTTGACTTTTCAATGACAGTCGTGTGACGTCACACACCAGTGAGCCGCCATATTGTCCAGAGATACTTTTTCCGCGGCAACTTGAAAATAGTGTTTCTGAATTAGTTTTTTTACCGAAATACTCAATATAATGATGAATATCCACTTTTGATGGACTATAAACATTAGTGAATAACGTGAGATCGGTTTTCTAAAACTTGTCAAATACCCTATTAAACAAGTGGAAAAAGGTTTTGCTATTACTAACACTCCTCTGTTCGTCTGTTTGTCTGTATTATAGCTAGGCAGTTTTCACAGATGATGAATTTCGGTTACCGCTATTATAACAAAATATTATAAAAGAAACCTGTAAAGGGGGCTCCCATACAACAATATATATATAATTGTTTATTATTATTTAACAACAGGTTTAATCGAACAAGGCTGGCGATACAATCACGTGAATATTTCCCCGTGGCAACCTGACGAGGAGTTGGAGTACGAAGACAGCTTCGTCATATCCACTCTGAGGGCGTTGGAGTCGAGGAGCCCAGTCGAGAGTCGAACCCGCGACCCCGTGAGGGAATCCAGAGCTTCCGATTCTGATAGTAGAGACGAACACGCTAGGCCTAAAACTACCACGTAAGTATACTTTTTTTTATAAAATTTAATAATGCAAGAACAATATAGATCTAAAGAAAAGTAATATCTCTTATCTATTAGACAAGTCCGTCCGTCTGTCTGTCTGTGGTGCTGTTTCAGCGGCCAAACCGTAAGAGATAGATAAAGAGAATATTTAAGTTATAAGTTAAGAATAGTCTGATAAGACTACAAACCGGATTTGAGTAACGTAGCACTTCCGGTTTTCGAGAAATCAGGTTTTGGTGAACATTTGGTTCACTGGTTTGCTAGTTTTCTTATAATTTTTATGTTTTTAAAGCATGTAACTGCTTGATGTTTAAATCTAAAGAAAATATAACTAGATAAAATTCCACGCGGACCAGGCAGCAGACGGGACTCGAACCCGCACCCTTCGCAATCCGGGCGAATGCATTGACCAATTATGCTACCGCGGCCCTCACTGACCGCGTCGAATTTCCTCTAGCCATTCTTAAGCTGCAAGGCAGTGCCATCTCTTCGCATTATAGGTAACCCACAATTTTATTTTAAGAAAATTTTACTGGATAAGATTCCACGCGGACCAGGCAGCAGACGGGAATCGAACCCGCGCCCTTCGATGCGAATAAATGACGCTGCCTTGCAGCCTAAGAAATGCTAGAGAAAGTTCGACACGGCCATCAGGGCTGCGGTAGCATATTGGTCAGTGCATCCGAGTTGATTGTTGTTTATGTTCAATTATTTCAAATAAAACGGAAAGTTTTATGTTTTTTTTTTAATTTTCTAAGCTGTGTTATTAAGAAAAATAAAAATGCTTATGATTGATGTCTTCTTTCAGTAAAATATCCTACATTCAATATTTAATACACTTTCCCTCCGTGTGGCATGGCCGTGGGACGCCCTGTATAATTGTCGTTATATCTTAATATCCCCGTGGGTCACAAAAATGCGCTTAAGGTCAACACATAAAGAGTTCTAAAGCTTTAAAATAAGATATAATTCATCTCTGTCCGCCGTGGGGCATTCTTCCATAGTAAAATTGCCAATGTCCTTTAACCAAAAAGAAATTTTCTGTAACATAATGACATGAGAACAAGACAACACTCATAAATCCATAGAGGTATAAGAACAGAGTAGGGGAGATATAGACTCTACTACAAGTGGAAGTGTCCCTCTAATAGAAAGAGAAAGACGATGAGAGACCGCTAGCTTTCTCTCTCTAATCGCGCATGCGCATTGGCAACCGTAAGCATCTTACTATTTCGATGTGATGCTTGGACCAACTATTGGACAGACGACTGCGCATGCGTCACAAGAGAGAGAGATAGCTAGCGGTCTTGTGGCGGCGACATCTATATGCCCCACAGATATACAACGGATGTAGGAAATCATTACTCACCATCCTCAAGAGATGGCGTTACCTGCACTGCATCGATCAACCCGACCAACATCAGTTTTTTTTTTTGATTCCTCCCAGGCGGGGGAGCGGGTGTAAAATCCTCATGGATACCTTACAGCCGGCTGCAAGGTGATGTCAGACTCCTACTGACTAACACACACTCGTAGTTTATGCTTATGGTCTGAAGGGCCTTACAAGCTTCATCTGAAGCGATTATCCCCCGAGAGGGGGATAATGCAGTCGGGCATCGTATATATGAAGAGTTAGCCTTCGAATTTCATTTGCGCGATGTAGGCTTCCATGTTAATATTGATCGCAGATTTCCTACATCCGTTGAATATCTGTGGGGCATATAGATGTCGCCGCCACAGTCTCTCATCTTCTTTCTCTTTCTACTAGACCAGTGTTTCCTAACCTTTCCAATACTGCTACCCCTGTAACCTATTAGGGAAACAGATTTTACCCCGACTTTAAAATGTTATCATCAGTTCAAGAAATTCCAATTTGGCCGCTACATCTTCGTCTCCAATAATGTCATCATGAGGAGAGAATCTCGCCCCGCTTCCCACATTCAGCACCCCGCGGGCTCGCTAGCAAGTAGGAGCGCATGCTCTATTTAGTAGTATTATTTAGATTTGACCAAATAATTAGGTTCTTATTTATTTATTTAAACTTTATTGCCACAATTACAAAAATGGACAAAGGCGGACTTAACGCTAAAAGCATTCTCTGCCAGTCAACCTTTAGGCATAAAGAAATCCACGAATGCGGCTATAATAATAAAAAAAAAAAAGTGATTTACTTTAAACATACACCAGTAAAAGTAACTACATAAATATTTATTTAAAAATAAACCTAAATATACATGCATAGAGTACATTTAAATATATTACTTATATAAATATGTTCTTTGTTACCCCCAAAGTATGGCTGATTTACCCCCGGAGGGGTAATTACCCCCAGGGAACCCAGGTACTAGACGGACACTTTTAAAGCCGCCTTCCTCACTCTATTCTTATTTCTCTATGCATAAATCTCTCATTTCTTTTACAGGCGAACGCTGAAAAAAACCCTATACTCCATAGAGTCTACGCTCCGAGAACACACTAATGCCATAGAGAAACTATCGAGAGCAGTGGAGTCTCTATCGGAAGGGCATAGACAAGCAGTAGCTTTCAGACCGCAAAATGTGGGGAGAATCCCTACCACTTCACATTCTTGGGACCTGTTCGGTGGATTCGTTCTAGCCATAGTGTTGCAAGCATTATTAAACTGGTTATTCTACCAGAAAGACTGAAAAAGTTGAAAATTTATTTACAATATACACATATAAATATGTCTATATCTATATCTTGTTTGTGGTTCACGATATGATATGAATAAGTAAATGACTTGAAATATGAAAGCCGCGGAAATGCAAGAGATTCATGCTACAAAGTTCCAGTGATGTAAGTTTGTTTTAATTACAAGTTTTTGTATGAAACCGATATTATTTATTTACTAAATAGATATTATATTGTTCTGTTAAAGAAAATGATGTGAGTTTTGAATGAGAATGCTATATTTTTAATGTCCCGTGGAATTGACATCGTAATACGATATGACAGAGTGATTTATTAACTAAACAACAACTGAGGTGCTGGCGAACGAAACGGTATAATAGGGGCGATGACGGACAAAGTTATAGCGCGTCAAAGTTTGGGAGTAGGGCCTCGTGACGTCACTTAAGTGAAAATTGTACCAAAACGTGACGTGATGCGACTTTTCAAATCAATATATCTCTGCAATGTTTATATTATGTGAAAAAAGCAAAAAAATACGTGTCCAATAGTTTTTGATCATCGAACGAAAAGCGAAGAAAAAAAAATAGTCATCATCCCTATTACGCATCTGGTCATACTATTTTTTTTTACAGTCCGGAGGTTTCGGGCCCGTTGAATTTGAATCTCAAACAATTTTCAATCAAAACCGCCTAAAACAATTAAAATTACTAAATTTATAAATTTAAAAACCATGCCAAAAGCTCACTGGAGGTATGTCATTCAGTTTTATACGGTTCCTGTAAAATTTCATCATCAGCCTATTAATGTCCCCACTGCTGGGGCACGGGCCTTCCCTATGGATGGAATAGGGAGATTGGGCCATGACCCACCACGCGGGCCCAGTGCGGATTGGTGGGTGCTAACGACTGCAGATGCAGCCGGGACCAACGGCTTAACGTGCCTTCCGAAGCACGGAGGAGCTCGAAATAGTAATTTTTGTTCACCCATCCAATGACCAACCACCGCGAAAGTTGCTTAAGTTCAACGATCGCAGCCGAACGCGCTAACCACTTGCGCCATCGAGCTCCTCAAAAATTCCTCCTGTAAAATTTAATTTTATGTAATTTTACCGTTTTTTTTCAGTTCTCAATTCTTTGTCCATATTTTGATTTTGACATTTGATATGTTAATCATAGATTTAATGTAAAAGAACATTGTTTTAACATTAATTTCTTTTTTTTTTTGAAATAACTCAGAACAAAAATTATTGATATAATGATATGATAATATTTGAGCGTACTCTCCCATAGGCAATAAATTAACGAAAAGATTTCCAAACAAAATATTACCACACCAAAGAGTTTTAGTTTCGCGTTCGGCTGCGATCGTTGCAGTTAAGCAACTTTCGCAGTGGTCGGTCATTGGATGGGTGACCAAAAATCTTCTATCTTGAGTTCCTCCGTGTTTCGGAAGGCATGTTTAGCCGTTGGTCCCGGCTGCATCTGCAGTCGTTAGCACCCACCAATCCGCACTGGGCCCGCGTGGTGGGTTATGGCCCAATCTTCCTATTCCATCCATAGGGAAGGCCTGTGCCCCAGCAGTGAGGTCATAAATAGGCTAATGATGATTACCAGGTTGCATTTGATATTGGATAGCTTTACGAACTGTCAAAATATAATGGATTTAAATTTAATTTGACTGTTACTTAATGTTAAAATCGCTATGTCATATCGTATTCCGATGGTACTATAATATACTCACTCCAATTAATACTATGTGGCTAATGCAATATTTTTCTTTGTTATTGGAAAACCGCCTTTCTTACTATCACAATAACAGTTATTTAAATTTTGACATTATTTGAAACCTTTATTTTCGAACGCATCAAACTGAGTTTTAACATCTTTTAAATTGACTTAATACCGTATTTGAGTTACTAATAAAGTTCACTTTCGTATGACACGGAAAATGTACATTTCCCATGTTGAAGCCATTTTGGTTGATATAATTTGACACTTATTACGTGACAGTAAAGGTTATATTCGTTTATCATCATTGCTTTTACTTGTTTAATATAATAGATTCTATCTTTACGTCTTATAGGCTATAATGGCTTGAGCTTTAAATGTGTTATACGAAACTCGTATAAACAATCAACATGCATTGTAAGCAATTATAGTCCTTAATACGTATTCGCTTTTTATAAACTTGACAACATGAATGAAATGAATGAATGAATGAATGAAATGACAACAACTGTCCTTATCATGCTTTATAAGCAATGAAAAGGACAGACTGATGTCAAGTTTACAAATACCATACACGAATAGCCAAGTTAATTTGTGCCGGCATAAAATTTTAGCAAGGTTCAGTTGTGTCAGCATAGCTTATGAATTTATAAACAATTGTTTTTTTAAATAAATTCTTTCTACTTTCAACTGAAATTCTAAAAAAGAAAGATCATTGGCTTAAAATTTTCTTTTTGAAACTAATGTTAGTATGTCGAATTTGATAAAAATAAGCTAACCTTTATCTATATAATCAACGATATTAAAAACCCTACTTACACCACGTGCGTTCAAAATGTGTCCCAATCAAGAAGTGCTTGAACATCATTCAAGCACTTCTTGGTTCACAATCACGCGCGGTCCGTTAAAAAGTCAACATGCCGCAGAGCTGCGTGAAAAAATCCGAAGATAATACTTATAGTACTTAAAGTGTCGTTTTTTCGACAGGTATCTAATCAATGTTAGTCAATTTTACGCATTTGAAGCAAATTTGAGTTCTGATCTGATTACCGACTATAAACTAATTTGGTAGAATATATTTATGATATTCAAATGCATAGTCGGGTATTTACACGTCTCGCGCACAGATACGAAATCTGCTATATTGCTAACAGCGCATTTAGTCAAAGAAATAAGGTGTATATTCTTCCGCCTGTGGCAACAAGTCGTAAAATTTTACGAGCTTGCATTTGGAACCTCATAACTCTTTGACGCATGCGTTTAAATTGAGACCTTATATACTATGCATTAAAGGTGACTTTGGATGTTTAAATAATTCCTTATATTGTTTTGGACTACGCGATCATCTCGCGAAATTCCGTGGATCGTCCAATGTACCTTTTGGACAGGTTTCGGCCACGATTTTGTTCGTGTTGTTGTATCTAGGGTTTTATTATCGGTGTTTATAATATTAAAAAAAATATGCCATTTTAGTTGGACAGCTTTTTCTAGTGACTTCTACTAACTAATAATGGACGTGCTTACATTTCTAAATAGGCGATACAAAAAACATTCTAAGAGCTTGCCCAAATATGTAGAAATATTAAAATAATTATCTAAATTAAATTTAACTATTTGTCTTTTTAGTTATTTTGTTTAATAAAATTCATAATTTTATGATAATAAATAAATGAAATTATAGAAATGAGTATTGATTAAAATTGACAAATCAAAAGATTTTCGATTGCTATGAGACAAGACAAAGTTTAATTTCAAAAAAAATCGATTGGGACTTGCCAATATTCAGCTGAATATTTTGTGTTGCCACACTTGAAAATAAACGAATCATATTGATAAATACATCGACCAAAAGTAGTTACCTATGTATGTAATAATAATATGTAAAAAGACAAATTTATGTGTTGTGCCCCCCTTGCGGTATATTCATATTTTTTTATATAGTAAAGAAATACCCTACTTAAAAAACTACCATTCGCCAATGTTGCCAGTGTAAAATAGATATTAGGAAAGGTAGAAAATTACTTGAAAAAATATGTATACACCGCATCATAGATTAAAATGAACAAAGCTTGACTTTATCTGTGGATATAGTTTTGTGAATCGAATAAATAATTGTATCTTATGAAAGTATGTAAAATGAATAAGTTATATTATAATAATATTATAATGATAATTACTATATAAATTTAATTAATAAATTGATAGTGGAACATTAAAGTTTGAGGTTAAATTTAGCGGTTTGAGAGGTGATTTTGTGAAGTGATATTAGGTAGTGGTTAAGCGTCGATTTTTTTAGAACTAGCAACACGCTTTTTTGTGTTCTCGATGCCGCGATGGTACGTTCGTGTTCATCTGGGAGTTGAAGAACACTCTTCCATTAAGTGTCTTGGGCAAAATTGTCAAGTTCGAAGGACATAAGTAATTTAAAAAATGATATATTTTTCATTTTTGGAGTTTATTGTAGTATGCTGCTTTTCTCAACAGATGTCGTTTTTATATAATTGCGAAGTGAATTTCGTTTAGTGTTGCGCAGCTGTTGAATAGTAAAAAAAGTCCCTTTCCGTTTAAAGGAATAAAATGAGGACAGGTAACTGAATGGAAATGTCAAATTTGATTACAGCAGTTGTGTGTAGAAAGCATATAATTGTTTCCCTTTAAAGTGACATTGCATTCACCACCCTTTTACGTCAGGAATAAGAATGATAATCGCTTGCTTCCTATAAACGCCATTTGACTACTTTCAAACTAGGAAAGGAATTTAGCTAATGTTTACGGAGCGAAAGCGATAGCCATAGAAATTGCGTTAGGCGATTGGCCCCCAGTACGATATTCGTAAGTTTTCCAGAAGCTTTAAACATATTTGTTCGTATATAAAATAAGAAATAACAGACTCCGCCAATTAAAATGCAACTCTGTGTACTAATATATTTAGAGCTCCTTTAAAATGAAAACCTCTTCAAAATTTCATCTATCTCTCTCATAATATATCTTGTTTTTGTTTGACCACTGTTATTTATATCTTGAGATTTTTATTTGTATGATAAATAGTATATGAATACTCTATTTTATTTATATAAATGAAAATTATTTCAAATTATTTATTCTATGTGCAATATTGTGAAATTGAAGTGTGTTATATGAAAATTATTTAAACAATTTAATTATTATAAATTTTGTAATGTATTTAAATGCCAATTAACTCTAAAAGCAAACGGGGAAATTTGAAAAAAATTGGTAATTTTTTTATTCTGCGTAAGGAAGTACTTTTAATTCACATATTTCTATATGTTATAATAATAATATATGACTACGTTACTGCCTTCCTGTTTCTAAGTCGAACACATAACTATAACACATTTGGGTATAGTTCTAAAGATTTCTTGGTTTTTTAAACTCTGGACTGTAAAATATGTATCATTTGAAGTTTTATTGGAATTATGTTAAGAAGCTCCAAGTATATTGACGTTTGTTAATGTCAAATTGAATGGCAAATTAATTCAAGTTGAAATTTGCCCATTAGGTGATGGAGTTTAAGTGAATAATAATTAGAATATTTTTTATCCAATGTGTGTGTGTGTGTGTGTGATTTATGATTTATTATTTAATAAAAATAAACAAAGAAATTATTCAAATAGCTATTTGATACGACTTGCCAGAAATTAACATATTGACCCAACTGTTTGTTCTTAAAACGTGTAGAAAAAGTATTTTGACGAAGGAGGATATTAAAACATATTTAAAAAAAGAGAAAAAAGCGGCGCCATTAATAATTATGTATAAAATTTGTCGCATAAAAATTAGGCTAACAAAAATAAAACATTAAGTTTTGGCGGCAAACGACTGTGACGTCGCTACGCCAGTGTTGCCAACGCAATAAAAAAGCTTCCAAAGTCGGAATCTGAAAGATATTTTTGTGAAATCTTTTTGCATGAATTCCGAAACGCGTGCACGATGTGGCCATCCTTCTATTATAAGTATTATCCAATTTTACTGTAGTTATATTTTTGATTGTACCAATAATTATGGGATACTGGAATATTTGCTCTGATAAAACAAATCTGTGCTATTTTCTTCAAATTATAATAGCGTTTATTCGAACGCAGAGTGTAATTCGGGGTTCACTCGCAGTAAACTTGCTGAGTCTCGATTCAACTAAAACTAAGTTTAGCTTAAATTGAGATTTAGCAAAATTCCTGCAAGTGGTCAGCCTTAGTATAACAATTGAATTATGTCAACGCCTACTATGTCCTTATTATAAATAAATAAATAATATTAACAAGAAAATATTTTCTATGTTGATTATGTAATGAAATATTCCAAGCATTTAGATAAATTCTTAGAGATTGTTGTTATATTTTGTTGTTTTACCAAGTGATTATATTTTTTTCCAGATCAAATGTATTTTGTTTTTTTTACCCTTCACCTATTATACCTAATACCATACCTAAGTATGGTGATGGTGGAGGAGGAGTCGATGGCGAAAAGAACAAGAATGTCACTTGGGAAGAAAGCTTTTGTGCCAGACTTTGTAGAACGCCTTGGCAATGCGAGGCTTACTAAAGACTCGCCTCGCTTGTCGATAGCCTCACCCTAGATATGAGCCAAGTACGCGAGAAGATCACCCGTCGATCTTTTCGGTCCAAAACCATATTGACGAACATTAAACAGGAGTGATCCTCTAGGTAGCGGGTTAGATAATTGTTAAGGACCTTTTCTAGGACTTTATAAAACAAGCTTCCTTTTGGCCGTTTTCAGTTTAGTGAGAGGAGGATAGAGAGGATAGGATAGTCCGGCAGCTGTGCAAATATGGCACTTGGTATTCGCGGTGCAGTCTGCAGCTTTGTGCCCGTCTAGACCGCACTTGAAGCGCGATGAGAGAGTACTGCGGTCTGTATCGAACGGGCAGAGTTGCTTGGTGTGGCCCAGCCCTATGCACCTCAAACATGGCATGGGGAGGGTCTCCAGTGTGTGGACTTGCAGCGACGACCATCCGATCAGGAATCTGCCGGAATCGGCAAGCGTTTTCACTATTGCGATCGGACATTTGATCACGTCCGAGCTGACTCCCCCAGGACCAGTGTTACCAACCCTTACCAAAATTTACCCCTAAGTATTATTTAAATTCCCCTAAATATACAATTTTTTAAGTACCTACTTATTACCCAAATTCTTTCGTTGCTCATAAATTAAAACGTTACTTAATTAGTTACAGTAAATTATTTTATTGAATAAATACAGTTTCCGAAAGGACATTCAAACGAAAATGAGCTGACAGACTGTTAAATATTATTTAGCTGTTTTTTTAACTTTAGTCCATACAGCCTTAGGAAACAACCCGCCATACAGTCAGTTTAGTCGTTTCATACCGTGGTGCGTTCCATTCTACGCACAAAACTGAAAGAAAACACACGCTTTGTTTTTCGATTTAATTGCAAGTTTCGATAAAAGCCCCTAAAAAAACACCCAAAAAATTCTAGCCCCTATAAAAGTCGGTTTTAACACTTCTAGCCCCTAAATCTGGGGGCAAAACCCCTAAGTTGGGAACCGAGCCAAGGACTTCTCCTGACTCCCCCCTTGTAGTTCTATCCTGCAAAGAGGGGGGCGGCGGAGGGAGCTTCACGGGCACGCTCAAGTAGCCCTCCGCAGCGGACGGGGGGCGGTACGGTGGGCACTAGGCCGCGTGCTCAGCCCCCATGCGCGGGCCTACCTGCGCACGTATGCGGGGTCCCCGCATGACAATGATGGCAACCTGGGGTCCTTTAAAAGAGGCGTGAAGAAGCAACATGCAGGCCGGCAGGGTGAGGATGGCTGGTGTGGCAAGTAGAACTGCTGTATCAGCTATCTTCGCGTCTGGACTTCACCTTCACTTAACATCAGGTGGGGTGAAGTTATTTGTCGGACCTATCTATAAAAAAAAAAAGTGTTAATCCGATCGGAGTCACATCAGTATGAGAAAAAGCGTAATGGATCAACATGAAGCCTCCAGATCAACAATTAACTGATCGTACGTCTAGAAAGATTAACATTACCGCAAATAAAGCATAGTTAGTAGTTAAACTAAACTATATAAATGTACTTTTAACTAAATAAAACTAGTTTTTACGGGTTAATGCACGAAACTTTATTTATTTATTGACGTTTCGCAGCCTTTTCAGGTCTGCTTCGTCAGAATAATGATTTTTTATTTAAAATTGTCGAGCTACCTTCGAAAGACTTATATTCTATATAGCTCAATATAAGTCTTTCGAAGGTAGCTCAACAATTTTAAATAAAAAATCATTATTCTGACGAAGCAGACCTGAAAAGGCTGCGAAACGTCAATAAATAAATATAGTTTCGTGCATTAACCCGTAAAAACTAGTTTCATTTAATGAGTGATGTGCGTGAAAACCTAAGAAACAAATACTTTTAACTATTTCACTGCCAGATTGTTAAATGCAAAGAAATTAAAAAAAAAACTACTTCCACTGAACCCTAGAGCAAGTAGTATTTTTTTCTAGTAATATTTTCTTTGAGTTTGGTTTTTTTAAACTGTTTGTGTTGGTGCGGGCTACACAGCTAATTATTCTAGTAACTGTAGCATTCGCACCACAATCTCTTATCTATTAGACAAGTCCGTCCGTCCGTCTGTCTGTGGTGCTGTTTCAGCGGCCAAACCGTAAGAGATAGATAAAGAGAATATTTAAGTTATAAGTTAAGAATAGTCTGATAAGACTACAAACCGGATTTGAGTAACGTAGCACTTCCGGTTTTCGAGAAATCACGAATTTCAAACGAAACCACACAAAATCTCCGAAGTTCTCAATTAATTAAATACATTTTTTTTAAATCAGGTTTTGGTGAACATTTAGTTCACTGGTTTGCTAGTTTACATTATAATCGCATTTAACTGTCAAAGTCCATAGTAATTTGACAAATTGAGCGTGACAAAAACGCGTTTTATACCATATCGCTGCTCATACTAGAAATGCAGGGATTTTAAAATTGCGATAAAACATTTTTTTTTGGATAGGTCTGACAAATGACTCCACCCCACCTGATGTTAAGTGAAGGTGAAGTCCAGACGCGAAGATAGCTGATACAGCAGTTCTACCTGCCACACCAGCCATCCTCACCCTGCCGGCCAGGATGTTGCTTTTTCACGCCTCTTTTATAGGATCCCAGGTTGTAAGAGGGAGGGAACACGTGAGCGGGAAGAGCATTCCATTTACTGATAGTAGATATGAGCGCCGCGCCGGCGCGCCGCCGCCGCCGCCGCCGCCCTTTCCCCCCCGCCGCCGCCGCCCTTTCCCCCCCGCCGCCGCCGCTGGGAAAAAGCAACGGCGCGCCGAGCGAGAAGACAATTAGTACGATCGAACTTCGCAGCAAGGCCGTGCGGGGTTTGAGGCACCCAGCCCAAACCGGAGCTCCATAAAGTGCCATCGACCGTATCGCCCCGTGATACAGTCGACGGCACGCATCTCCTGGCCCGTTTGGGAGGACCCTGCCGAGTGAGGCTGCAGCGGCGCACAGCCGTGGAGCGAGGAGCTTGTAGTGCTCCTCGGAACTCCATCGGGGGTCCAGAACCAGGCCGAGGTACTTCAGGCTTCCCTCGACCGGTATATTGACCCCCTCCACCCGAATATGGAGCCCCGGTTGGGTGCTGCGGCGTGGGCCGTGGAACAGCATGGCCCTCGTTTTGTCGAGGGCCACATCCAGGCCCAAGAGGCGGATGCGTCGAACGGTTAGCGAAGTGCCGACCGACGCTAGGCGAACCGCCTCCTCCACTTCGCCTTCGCCGCGACCAACGTGTCGTCGGCGAAGCAGACAACCTCCATGTTGGGCAGGAGGCTGCCTCACATCACCCAGTTGTATCCCAGGGGTCAGTGCTGGGTCCACAGCTCTGGAAGTAATCTGGCCATGGCCCGAGAGCACATGCTTCCATCGGGCCCCTCGTAGAGGACTGACCTCCCCTGCAGGTAGTCCTCTACGGTCGCTCGCAGGTATGGAGGCACGCAGTGGAAACGCAGTGCCTCCATAATGCACTCGTGGGGGAGGCTGTTGAAGGCGTTGCGGATGTCCAGCGACACCGCAACACTCTCCCCGCCGAGTGGCCGTTTCGGTCCACCCCTTCCACCATGGACCGGTTTCCCCGGAACCCGAACTGGTGTTCCGCCAGATTCGGACCCGGTCCCTCCAGGTGCTCGATGATACGCCCCGTCAGGATTCATTCGAAGAACTTCCCGGCGTCATCGAGCACCACTATGGGCCTGTAGCCGGAGGGGATGTGCGTGAAAACCTAAGAAACAAATATTTAAAAAATAATTTCTTTTGCCATATTACATTATTTTGGGTATAGTTACTTTAAGTGCTTATTGTTACTCAAATTTTATGCTGATGTTGATTTATTTGTACTGTGTATAACGCCATAAAGTTTTTTATTTTTATTTTATGTAATTTAGAACTTGATAATCCATTGGATTGTCGATTGTTTTTAATGATGTTTGCGCGGAATGGCGGCGATCTCATTCCAAGCTTAATTTGTTTGTAAAACGCGAAAAGCGTTTTTTTATTAGGATTTTTTATCTGGATTTTTTCATTCAAACTTGAACATTTCCCATGATGTGGAGGTGAATCCCCGTGTTGTAACAACGGCCATCCCTTACATATTTGCAACACCAGACATACTTTACTCCAAAGATGCAACGAGGTCGGTAATCTTCTAAATTCATAATTGTGTATCGGCCCCCATATTAAAGGTAACATTTTCACTTACATCTTGGTAGCTTTAGTATATAAAGTAGTTTCAAAATTTAGCATTTTGGACCAGTAATTCTGTAGTAAATTTAAATAAATTGACAACCCAAAATGAATATGGATTCGCATTAAGCTCCCCTTGCGATTAATGATCCATTGCTTCCCGGCTAATAATATGGTATAGTCCAGGCGCCCGAATATTCTTATTTAATTGATTTCGGCCTGTCCATTTCAAAAATTTATTATTAACTATTACAATTGTCACAATTGCTTTTATTTTTTCTATTACAATACGTATAACACATATTACAGAAAATAAGAATTCTTTAGATTTATAAAACGGTTTTTTTTATCAAGTTTCATCTATTATTTCCTACCGATACATGAAAAAGTCTTGAGGGGTCACGCCGCCGACGGCGCCGCCGTCGCCGACCTCAAACAGTCGGCGCGCCGCCGCCGGTCGTGCACCCATCAGCGCTCATATCTAACTGATAGTGCGACAAAGTATGATTCACCAAATTTCTTTGTACGCATTGGAATTGTGGCCACAGTTAGACGGTGACAACGTAGGCCAGCGCGCGTGGTCCTCTGAAAGAAAGGGGAAGGTGGAATAAGAGAGAATCACTCTTCAGAACACTCGTCGTGGTACAGACGATAGAACGCGG